TTGTTGTTGAACAGATTGTTCTTCTTCAATTTGTTTCTTCAAAGAATTATTCTCTTCTTCTTTTGAGATATTTTCTTTTTCGAGTTTTTGAATTTTTTCATCCATCAATTTTTCTGATCTTTCCAAGTCTTCAATTTTTTTATTCAAAGAAGAAGAAAGAGTTTCAAAAGAAAGTTCATTTTCTTTACTTCTTCTTTCATGTTCAGTGTCTTTAAACTCCAATTCTTTATTTAATCTTTCTATTTCTTGTTTTTTGATTTCATTTTGTTTTTCACTTTCTATTTTTAATTCCTCAAGCTTTTTTAATTCTAACTGAGTTTGTTCTATTTTGATAGTTTGTTCTTCAATTGAACTTTTTAGTTTAGTAATTTCTTCATCTTTTTCTTTCTTTTCTAATTCAAAAATTGATTTCATTTCATTAATTGTATTATTATTCTTCTCATTATTCTTTTCAAACTCTTCCTTTTCTTTATTTATTTCTTCTTTCATTCTTTCAATTTGATTTTCTTGCTCTTCTAACTTTTCTTTAAGTTGATTTTTTTGTTCTTGTTCTAACTCTAAATTCTTTTGTAATTCTTCTATCTTTCTATTTTTTTCTTCTACTTCTTTATTTTGTTTTAATTCTGTTCCTAACCCCATCATCCTTGGACTTATAGTTCTACGATTTTCTTTCATTCTTTCTTTTTCATCTAATCTTGGTGTTTGTGAATTTGGAAGAGTGTTTCTCTTTTGAATTTTTAATTCTTTTTCCATCATTTTAATCTCTTTATTCTTCTTATTAACAGATTCTTCCCAATGTTTTAAATCAATCATAACTGGATCTTTGTTAAGATCAATTATATTAGACTCATCTTCTGTTAATGACACTTGTTCAAATTGTGACAACATTTCTTCTAACTCATTAGACATCATTCCAAGATTCTTTGCTTCTTCAGGGACTGAAGGATCATCAAGATTAGGCCAAACAATACGTACACTTTTTGAACAATCAAGCATTCTTCTAAGACTATTTCCAATTCTGTTTTTTAATGTCATTTTTAATTGAGCATTTCTTTCTCTAATTCCTTGTGCAATTGTTTCCATTACTTCATTATCATCAAATACATTTTCTTTCATTATAAAGAAGGTTAAATAAAAATAAAGACAATAATCATCTACAGTATTTTTCTCAACAAACTCTGCCTTAATTAACTTTGGAATATTTAATCTTTGGTATGCGATATCAATACATCTTTGTATATTCTCTAAATGATTATCTGTGAAAGATGTTAAATTAATTAAATCATTTTGAAGGTAATTAATTAATTTTGCAAATAAAATACCTTCTGATAATTCTTTTTTAAGATCAAAAGAAGTGTCTTCAATTTTAAGAATTGATTTTATCCACTTAGTAAAATCAATCATTTTAACAGGACAATCTATTTAGTTTAATAATAATTTATTATGAATCTAAGATAAAAATAGAAATAAACTTCCAAGTCTATATTTACTCAATATTTGATACATAAATGATAAAATCCCTTTCTTTTCTCCATTAAATATCTCTTCTGCAGATGTTAAGACTTTAATCCCTTCATCTTTTGCAAATTGAATTACTGCACCTAAATTTTGTATTTTTTCAATATCTTTTGACGGTGTTTCTATTGTTTTAAGAATTTCTTTACCACTTAGATTCGTTAAAAACCGAATTAAAATTAACCCATCTTTAAGGTCTGTAAGTATATTACTTACAAAGGGTTCTTCAATAAGAGTATAATTGATAAAATTAGTGTATGCCTACAATTCAATTATTCTTTATTTTCTTATTACCTACTTGTTTTAATAAATGAAACAAACATAAAGTTGTTGCTCTTCTAAAATCTTTGTTTTAGAAGCAGCTTTTGTGAGTACTGAATCTGACATGAAATAAACACTCAAGTATATTAATCAGTACATAAGAACCCTTTTTCACTTCCTTCTTTTGTTCATTTCCTTGTAGAATTTTCTGTAATTGGTATATAAAACATTGAATGATTTAAATTGTTAGAATTAAATTAAGTGTTAGGTTTTATTAAGAACAACTTTTCCAGAATAGAAAAATAAAAACCAAGTATGAAGTTAAAGAAATATGACTTAGTTTCATTGATTAAATTCATACATTTTTGTTAATAAGAAACTAACACAAAATGTTTTTGTTAACAGTTCAAACAAACAACACAATGCTATCTATTGACATAAATAATATCAAACTCTTATTAAACTCATTAATAGTTTTTGGTTAACTATTTAATTAACTCTCTTATTTTTGTGTTTTGAATAAATATAATTCAGTATTGTAAATGCATTAATTCGTTTGTTTGTTTTTGAAACAAGACATTGAAGATAATTGAAACTACTGCTTTTACTTCTTATTAACTCATTTGTAAACTTCTATCCAATTCTGAGAAATTAATGATGTTGTAGTAATTCTTTTCAGTTAGTCCCCAACAGTTCTTTCAATCTTATTTATAGTAATAATACTTAATGGCTTTTCTTCATGTCTTGATAAACCCATCTTTTATGATAACTTAAAGCTTGAAAATCTTAAACTAAAAATCTCTACATAAAAGTTAAACGTAAAATTTTTACCTACCATATTTCTTGATATTATCAAAGATATTCTTTAAAGACTGGGATATGAACTTTTTGTTTATTGACTTATTGAATTAATTAACTGAAGATAGTTAGATCTTATTTTAAACAAGGGGATAGAAACGAGCTTATAATATCACCAACTTACAACTTAATGTTTCTTCACTTTTTATCTTTAATCTATTCTTAAACCTTATCTTTTTGAGTTAATATCATTCATTAGTTAATTTACTTGGTCCTAACATAAAATACATTTACACTACAATTTGTGTATTTTATTCTTTGTTCTAGTCAATTTTAATTATGAAGAGTGACAATTTAAATGACAGATTCGTTATTACATTTATTTGAGTTTCTTTTAATACTGTTATATATATCATTATTCAAAAGATGAATAACTTTCAAATAGAAATAACTAAAAATTAAAAAGAAATGAACCAACAACAAATACAACAATATAAAGAGGAACAAAGAAGGTTTGTTATAGTGTTAAAATACAAAACGACAAGATAATAATAAACTAGACAACAAGAAGAACAAAGACAACAAATTATTGATTCTGTTCTTGAACCAGAAGCAAAAGAAAGACGTTTGTAACATTCCTTATATTTCATTTAAAATGGAGATTAACAACAAGTTGCTAGTATTGCTCTTGTTAAACCAGAAAAAGCAAGACAAGTAGGTGATATGATTTTGATGATGTGTCAACGTGGACAAATGACAGGAAAAATCAATGAGGGTGGATTAATTTCAATGATTGATCAAATCAATGAAAATAAGACTGAAACCAAAGTCACTTTAATGCATAAAGGAGATGATGACTTAGATGATATTAATATTGATGATCTTTAACTTTTTTCATTCATTTTTATGAAAGATTTATTGTAATAATAAGAGAAATCACAACTTTTCATTTAAAATTGATTTATCCATAAGAGTAATCTTCTTTTTAATGATATGATAATATCAACATTGTTCAGATGAAAAGAAAACACTTTCAATCTTTTTCAATAAAAATAAAGAACAAATCATAAAAAAGAGAAAAACTTAAATAAAAAACTGAAAAAGAGAAAAACAAGAATGTTACCTTACACTGAAAACATTATTCAAAAACCATCAGAATATACTTACTTTAAATTTAGTCAAAAAACACAAGAACGAATATACGAAGATGAACAAAACCGAATTCTTATTGATGAAGAGTCTCTTCCATCAACAGCATTTTTCACATTTTTTAATTCTCAAAACGTTGTTAATTCAGTCAACTTTAGTGATGACGGTCATTTAATATCAGTTGGATGTTCAGACTCATCAATTCGATTATATGACTTTAAAAAAACACAAGTTGTGAATGGAATGAACCCACAAGCAAAATTACTTCATAGTCTAACACCAAAGGTACATTATTAATATTTAATTCACATGAAATGAGTTATTAGTAATTGAATTTATAACTTACTAAAATGATTTAAATCATTATCAAACTATGAAATATCACCTGATTCATCTAATTTAAAATGTAAAACAACATTAAATTCATCAACAGAAACTTTTTCACCATCTACTTCATTTGATTGGAATACAATTAATATTGATCGTGTATGTTCATGTTCAATTGATACTACTTGTTCAGTTTGGTCAGTAGAAACTGGTCAATTAGTAAAAAAATTAATTGCACATGATAAAGAAGTCTTTGATGTTTCATTTGCAGCTAATCCTGATATTTTTGGAACAGTAGGTGGTGATGGGTCATTAAGAATGTTTGACTTACGTTCATTAGAACATTCAACTATTTTATATGAGTCACAAGGTCTTGTTCCTTTATTACGTCTTCAATGGAATAAATTTGATCCAAATTTCATAGCTACATTTGCTATGGATAGTGATAAAGTAATTATTATTGATGTTCGTCAACCTGCTATTCCTTATACTCAACTAAAAGTTCATAGAAATAGTGTCAATGCTATTTCATGGGCACCTAACAAAGCCACACAGCTATGCTCTGCAAGTGATGATCATAAAGCTCTTATTTGGGACATTGCACCTGTTGCTGAAGGAGCTGATCCTCAAGTATTACAATATGAAGCTGAGGCTGAAGTAAATAATATAGTATGGGCAACATT